ACACAAGTCAGTGTGTATAGACTTGTCACAAAAGGATACACAAGTCAGTGTGTATAGACTTGTCAGGAAAGGATACATGGGTCAGTGTGTATAGACCTGTCAGGAAAGGATACATGAGTCAGTGTGTATAGACCTGTCAGGAAAGGATACATGAGTCAGTGTGTATAGACCTGTCAGGAAAGGATAGAAGAGTTGTGTATACCAGTCAGTGTGCAATGACTTATCTTACTTGTTCAGAATTTATAATATCTATTTATCTGTAACAAAGATTATGCTTTTTTCTTGTGAATTTTCCTGTAACCCATGGTGTTTTATTGCAGGTGTAAGACTATAACCCATGGTGTTTTATTGCAGGTGTAAGACTATAACCCATGGTGTTTTATTGCAGGTGTAAGACTATAACCCATGGTGTTTTATTGCAGGTGTAATACTATAACCTATGGTGTTTTATTGCAGGTGTAAGACTATAACCCATGGTGTTTTATTGCAGGTGTAAGACTATAACCCATGGTGTTTTATTGCAGGTGTAAGATTTGTGAAAAAAGTTTTGCCCAATCAGGAATCCTTCAGACACATATGGCAATGCATCTCGACCAGAAAGACTTCCTATGTGAGCACTGTGGGAAGTCTTTTAGGCAGAAATCTCAGTTGAGGATACACATGCTGAGACATGATGGTGTTCGCAACTACCTCTGCCTGTCTTGTCCAGCAAGATTTCTCACTAAAGGTGTGACCTGTTTTTTTTTCAACCTACTCAGTCAATCACTATAATTAACCTGACTGTATTTACCATTTTGTGTTATTGCTGAAGTAGTTACCCTTTTTATTTGCATGTAATTATGATGTTCAATTGTACAGTAAGTATTACTTTGTGGCCTGTTTTAATCCAGCGGTGTTACGTTATTTTTAATATTTATATTTGTTGGTATAGGAATTAAGTCAAATATGACATTTTTTTGTTAATCACGCTTTTCATTTAAAACTGTATTAACAAATATATAACCAAATAAGATAAGCAAACAGGAAGCCAAACTTGGTTTTTTAAGGCTAAAACTCTCACTTGCCCCAGTTATTTTAGAAAACTATATTCAGTCCAATTTGATGTAGTCAAACACAAAATTTTAAACTTGTAGCTAATTCCCCTTTGGACTGGCTTAGTGTGGCCTAATGGTTACCCAGCCACTTAATATGATCCACAGTTTCAGCTATGAGTGTATTATAAAAGTGACAGCCAGTCACATTGTTCAGTGGAAGTGGTGGACAAAGCCCTTCTGGCAATATGTTATCTGGTCAGTAGTTTAGAATTAGGGACAGCTGTACTCGAATCCCAGGTGCCTTTGGCCTGGCTGTTTAGTCCACGTTTCAGGTTGAACATTTTCAATTTTATTTTCTGTTAATGTAGGAATATATAATGTCCTAATAGTTATTTGGGGGTGATAAATCAACATAATATTTTTTTGTAGAAGAATGCTTTAACATAAAATATTTTTACTTATTAATAACAGCGTAACCCGCTATAAAATGTGAATATCAGTAAAGTATTTTATAGTTTACGTGATTTCACAGATTAACTTAATATCATATAGTACTTTAAAAAAAACTTACTTTTAAATGTACAGAATAATGTCTGCTTTTTGAATTTCTAAATTCCGTTCTGAGTTTTTGTCTTAATGCTTGAAATGTATCAAAACATGTTTTCAAACTTTAGTAAATGCTTTTGTTTCATTACTTAAGTCTTACTACTTAGATATAGAGTAAAAAAAGAGTGTAAATCAATTTAATGATGAAAATTGAAGGTCTTTGTTTTTGCTTTAGGAGACTTGGAAAGACATAACCGAGTTCACACAGGAGAACGTCCATATGTCTGCACGCTTTGTGGAAAAACTATGACACGTCAGCAACATCTTAACGAACACATGAATCGACATTATGGCTTAAGACCATACGAATGTAATTATTGTGGAAAAAAGTTTGCAGAGATGTCAGGATGCTACAAGGTATTTTGTTTTGATGGAATATATAATAGTTAGAAGAAGGGCTTTAACACTGTATTGTTATCTTCAGGCCATATTGGAGAACATTTTTTGGTTTGGTTACACATAGGGTTGGATTAACCAAAGGTAGGTAGTTGTGTATGAACAAGGAGTCTGTTGTGGTTATGTTGTTTTAATAGCCATTGTAAGTTATTTTTTTTATTTGTAAACTAGTATTTGAAAAACCTTGTACCTGATAAAAATGTTGTTTTGATGTGTAAAATATCAATGAAAATAAAAGTGAAAAAGAGTTCTTGTGGTGAATGGATGGTCCATTGAAATTGCTCGTGAACCAATTGTGGTTCTGATTACACACCTGCTTTCTCATCAGTACTCTTGTTTCCAAGAACTTTCTTATAAAACTGAGCTGAACATGTAGTTTCTCTGAAATTTTTACATGACGTTTAATATAGAACAGTTAACTGTTAATAGCAATCCTCATTGTATTTGTTAATTTAAAGATTGATTTCACGTAAAGTTGGGCCTGCACCATGGGAATTGTGAATCAAATGTAGTTTGGTCATTTCTTTATTTCATCTAAACTATAACTTGTATGCTGGTTTATTTTATTGTTCTTAGTTTATAACTATGCGAGTTTATATGATATAATTAAGGTTTTGAAAAGGCTATTTGTGGTATAATAGATTTCGGCGAGATGTGATCATGTACATCTGTCAAAGTATAAAAGTTCCGAATTTCTATTTTTCTTATAGCTGCTTTTTTTTTTAAAATACTTAAATGCATATTGCTGTCTGAACATCTTGTTCCGTTATGTTTTCTTGTTCTTTTAGGACAAGTAAATTTAGAAATACATATTTTCAAAATTATGAATCATATTATTTCTTTGTTTTTAAATCATAAACCACAACCTCTTTTAGCTAGATCTCAAGTAAGTAGACCATTTTAACAGAATTGAGTTAAAAAACCAATACAATTGTACATTCCACACTAACTTCACGTTGATAAATAAAGTTATTGTAAAATGTACAATTGTCTGTATAATGGAGTTTCACCGAGTATGGACGGTATCAATCGTATAGAACATTTTACTTTTCTTTCCTTCATTCAATATTTACTTAGTATTATTTACAGTATATTAGCAATGATTTTAATGAGCTTTATATATACTTTGTTTCTGGTAAATCACTATTAGCATAGAACATTCCAGATATTGTTACTTTGAATGAGATAAGTTTTTGTGGTATTTGTTAAATACAATATAGGAATTAAAACTTTTTCCGTATTTTTTTATATTCGCAGCATATCAAGACACATGAACGAACACAAGCACAGCAAGATAAAATGAATGAGGTACAGCAGTACAGTAATACTCAGGTATAAAAAAACCTGTGTATTGAAGTTTAGAGTTAAATACTTTTAGTTCAGGAAAATGTAGTCTGCATTTAATAGCCTATTTATTGGACCTGTCATTATGTTTGGAGAATTTTTTTAAAGCAGAGGTTAGGAGGGAGGCACTAGAAGAATATTTTGTTCCTTCAAAATTTAAAGTACTTGGGGAGGGAGGATTTATTTTTTGTTGTTGTTGTTGTTGTTAAATGTGAATAATCAAACAAGAACTTATTTTTAACCATCACAAAATCATAATTTTTGTGTTTGAATAGTTTCCTTTGCATTTCTTAATTGTTCAGAATATTTGTTTTAATGATTCTGTTTGAAAATAATGGAATTATAGATGGATCCAAATATATTGAGTTTTCACTAAAACATTTTTGTTTTTGGAAGATATAAAATATGTTTTTTTTCTGTATTTTCTTCATCAGGAACAAACAGAATTTGTCTCGCTGCACAATCAAAATGAATCTCAGTCTCACCCTTTACGGTTGGAGGGAGTTGTCGTAAGTCAGGCGGATTTTGGACCACCCGATGTGACCGTATTCGTTCACTCGGGGGATCAACCACTGGAGCTGGGTAGCGAAATGACTGTCGTAGAACAAGAGTCTAAAGATGGCTCATCGGCAGTCATTCCTTCTTCTAATGATGACAGCATCACAACAGCTTTGGCGGAACACATAACAGACTTTGCTGCCATCAACCTCCTTGCTAATGCCTCAAGTTTTCAACAAACATTTTGACTGAGTATTGCTTGTATAAATTTTGTATTAACAGATTCCATGTATAAACTAAAAACTATATACTTCTGAAATCACTGTATAGCTGTGTGTGTGTATATATATATATATAATAAACTCATTTTAGTAAAAAATTAATAGAATCTTAATGCAGGAATTGGCTTTGCAAGGCACTCATCAATTTACCCCTGGTGGCTCAGCGGTAAGTGTGGGGTCTTATAACATCAAAAATCAGATTTTGATATTCACAGAGTACAGACAGTCAATTGTGTAGCTTTGTGTTTAACAAAAACTCAGCAGTTCAACGGCTTTTGTTTATATCCAAAGTTTAATATTTAGTAATATTGAAGGGTGTAATGGTGCTAGTTATAAACTTGGTTGGAATAATATACTTATTTGTCAATTTTCAGTTCATATTATATTTTTTAACTTGGAGCACTCGTGTACAAATAAGTGGTGGGTTAGTAAATAATCAAGTTTTAGTTGTAATTGACACGAAATGTATTAAAAAGCAAATATAAAGTCCTTGCTATGTTTACAACAACCATCTAGTTGTCTTTACACAACTTGTGCTTATAATGACACTCAGGTTTGTTTGTCAGATTCTTTACAAATGACAAATGAATACTGTATTTTAGGCCTCGAATGACCTAAGTTAGTTTCTGTAGTTTTGATAGTTTAGGGGAAAAAAAAAACTTAAAAAAATGAGAGGGCTTGCACCTTACTTTTATATTTTGTGTGAATGTACCATAGCTAACTATGAGGTCAAAAGGATTTGGACATGGTTAAAATTTGATATAAATATAACTTGCTATTTAATTTTACACCGATATGGAAAAGGTATATAATATGAAAGAGTGATCCTATGTGCTCATTGGTGCCTGGACCTCGGGTAAATTCACTATAGCTATGGCCATGCTTCAAACACTGATATAACCAAAGGAAATAACTGTTTTTCAGAGCTTACAGTATAAAGAAAGACTTAGCTAAATTTCTGTAAACACACTACTAAGGGGTGCTAGGAATGAAAACTGATACTAGTGTACTACTGCATCTTATTTGTTTCATCAGATTTTATTTTTCTTAAGAAACATGCATTAGTTTAATGATTTGAAGTGTAATAAAGAAAAATCTCTATCATTAATCGATAATCCTTTCATAATCCATTAAAATACTTTTTAATACAGCTTTTCTTATACAATAAATTCACTGTCATTTTTAACAAGTTCTAGAATTATATGCAAATTTCCATTTCATACTCTTACTCAGTGGTTTGCATAGTTTACCAAATTAGTGCCTAGACACGTGGTAGTTATTCCTGGTAATATATTTAAGGAATAAACAGATGTGCATAGCTGCCACTATTCTCGTATCCCGAGGGCCTAATGGTTAGCGTGTCGATCTTTGGGTCTGTCATTCATGCCCAGTTTCCAGAAAAAAAATTGCAATCTGTACTTTGGGGCTGTGGGTACATTATGATAACAATAATCTTATCCCACTATTTGATCAAAGTTAACATTTTCTAACACTGAAAATGTATTTCTGAACGGTACTTACCTTCCCTCACCCAAAGCTATATCCACCTAGATTTGCCCTCTAAGCATTGCTAAAATTTTTCAACAGCACACCAGTCTATTATACCCCTTCATTTTGGTGCTCCCTCTATCATTGCAACACAATCCTCACTTTCGAGAATCGACAGATACAAACCAGGAACATTGGCAAATCAGTGGGAAGTGAGCAAGAGGAGGTGAGTACCTGTTGCAAATACATTTGTAGTGTTAGAAAATGTTAACTTATGAAACAGTACAACCTCTGCTCACCTAAAGCTAGAATCCCACATTACAATGATGAAGTGGCAAAAGTAATCAAACAAGTGGAGAACAACTGCCGTAAAAGAACAGATGTGCTACAATTATAAAAGGTGGGGTATAGCACTACTTCTGGAACAGTTATGCTCTTCGCCCGGTCACGAACAAAGTAAGATGCATAGGGTGGAACTTAATACACAGGCACCATGTCATATAATACAGATTCTGCCCACGAACAACAGATAGTACATAAAATGTTCATATATGTAACAAGCGTGAGCACGTGACACAATCATAGTCAGATTTGAAGAAGATGCCTCGAAGCAGATATAAAAATACGTGGCTAGGGCTAAAGGACCATAAATGTATATGAATAGGCCAAGTGCAATCTGCCCAGGCAAAAAACATCCAGGAGAAGCACCATGGTATCTGTCAACTGTGGTCCATCTGGTCAGAAAATATCCAGTGGAAATACCTTGCATGAAATTGTTTATTATATATTTTGCACACAAGGTATTTAGAAATCAACAAGTGTGGTCCACCCAGGCAAAAACATCTAGGGGGGAAGCTCCTTGTAATATTGTTCAGTTTGGTTCATCTGGTCCAAAAATATCCAGTGGAAACACCTTGAATTGAGCATATTATGTTATTGTATAATATGAAATGTAATGATGATAGCCCTCTTTTCATAGAGTGGGTACATGTGACTATGAAGTTTATTTTATCGTACAAATCCCACTTCAGCAACTGGGAACCAGACGTAGCAAGGACACCCATGCTTCACTAGAAGAAGGGGGGATGACACACTGCAGTCAGTGCAATGGGTGTCTGCAATTCCCTATTTTGAAAAGCAGAACGACCCTGGTTGTAAGAATCACAGGTAGTTAGGGATGTTTAAAAATCCCCATACAGTCTACACTAATATTCACAATTCCTTTGTCTCTCTCTTAGCGTAGGGTCTCCAGTAAGGCTTCTCTTTAACAGGATCCCTCATCTTGACCTTGTGTTGCCTGAGGTCCGTATTTTCTAATGTATCTGTATGCTGACACAGTAGATTTTGTTTCTCTTCCCTCTTCCTATCAGTCAGTTTGACACTTATGGAGACGCCCTTTTAAGTCTCATCTCTAGTCAGTGCTCTCAAATGGTCCCTTCCACTGCAGGGTGAGTTTGTTGTGGTTTGTGGGCAGCAGAACTAAGACCTTCTGTCTGACCTTGAAACGTCGATCCTTGTCCTTCTTGTCATAGAAATACGTCTGACTGCCTTGAGCTACATACAAGCTCTGTCGAGCAAGTACACTGTTCTCCTACAGTCCATTTCTGAGGTCTAACACATACTGGTATGTGTTCCTTACTTCTGATTCTTCTTCCGTCCAAGGCTCTTTCAATATTTGCATCAGACCTCGCACTGTTCTTCCATATAGTAACTGGAAGGTTGAAAATCCTGTACTGTTGACTACTGTCAGCACATACCAGTTGTTCTTATCAGAAACAGGTACTAGTGGTCCAATCAAGTCCACAGTTACTCTACTGAATGGCTCTTCTATGAGAGGCATCTCACCCAATGGCACCTTAGCTACCTTCCCTCTAGGTATTGTCCTTTGGCAGTTATCACATGACCTGCAGAATTTACTCCAATACTACTGGCCAATGTAAGTTACTGGTGATTCTGTCTGCCATCTTTGTTCCTAGGTGTCCTCCCACAATTGATTCATGACCCAACTTCACCTCTTGAGTCTTGTATTCTATTAGTACTATGATCTGTTTAACTAGACTGGTTCTCACTGCTGCACTATTATACCCAGTGTCTTGTAGAACCTTCACTTTCTTGTCCTTGACATATTGGCACATGATTTGTTAGGACCTCTCAATATCTGTAACATGCTCCCATCACTACTGGCACTGTTGATCCATTTGCTAACTTGAGTTGACCATTAGCCGTACACTGATCAATCATGTAAATGGCACTTCCTTCTTGTGGTGAATCTGACAAGTTGTCATGATTCTGTTTCTTCTGGCAGCAGCATCCATGGTGACAGTCATTCTTTTATTGTTTCTTACCAGCACTATCTTTGTAAGTAGACCCAGCTGCTTTATGTTGAGATTTCTGCTGTTGCTTGCTGGGAATAGACTTACACTCCTTTGCAATGTGTTCCATTTTATAACAAACATAGCATATCTTCTCCCTTCTGTCTAGTAACCTCCTTGGTAGACTCTTGCTTATGGTCAACCATCACTGGTTTCGAATTCAGGTTAGTATGTGGTGTAGTTTGGTCTTTATAATGTTCTAGTGGATTGTGGAGAGCGTTATGATTGGTTGGTTAAAACACGTTTCTGATTGGTGGAGAGACCCTGTAGCCTCAATCAATGGTAGTCACAGTTTACTCACCTCTAATCCTGTATCTCTGTTTATTGAAGGTTTTATTGTGTTAATGTAAAACGATTCTTTAATTTTACTTGTCTTCCAAAATTTGTCTGTGTCAATGATTCTAGCTTTTTCCCAATTTATGTTGTGTCCAGTTGACATGGCGTGTTCTGCAATGTCTGAATTTTGTGTTTTCATGAGTATTGTGCTGTCTTTATGTTCCTTTATTCTTGTCGTGAGTCTTCTTCCCGTTTCTTCAATGTATGTTTTGTTGCAGGAACACGGAATTTCATAAATGACGTTTTTCTGTTTTTTGTTGGTAGGTTTCTGTTTCTTCTTCACCATAATGGATCTTAGTGTTTTGTAAGATTTGCACCAGATGTCTATGTTGAATTTCTTAGCCTTTTGTTTGAGTTTTTCACTGACATTTTTCAGGTATGGGAGGTTGTAGTGGTTTCTTTATTTTTCTTTTCTGTTGTGGTCTTCTTCAGGGAGTTTTTGAAGAAGGAAGAGGTGTAACCATTCTGTTTAAAACACTGTATGATGTTTTGGTGTTCTGTTTCGATGGATGCGTTATCGCAAATGTTTTCTGCTCTCTTGTTTAGGCATTGGAGTATACCACGTTTTATCTAGTTTGGATGATAGGACTGGAAGTGTAGGTATTTGTTCATGTGGGTGGGTTATAAATCTTTACAGAAGATATGGAAGATTAGCAGAAGTTTACAATCTTCTAGATCCTGTTTATAAGGATGTCAACTAAATGTTGTATACCTGCGTTAAAAGTTTAAAAAAGTTATCTGAATAAATATATTATATTTTCTAGTTATGGAGGGGTGACATATAGCAGTTTTCAAATTATGAGATCAGAATAGTTCTTTATTTGTTTTGAACTTATTATTATTAACAATGTTCTTCCCTTTCCTTCAGTTTGTTTGCATTTTTATTAACAAACATAATACTGTTACGTCTCCGTTTGTTAATTGATTTTCCGTAACTTCGTTCCGACGAAACTTTAGCGACACAAGTCGTTACTTAATAAAACTGGTTTAA